CAAAAGTTGAACAGTTTGTGGCGCATGTAGGAAAGACCAATTATGGGATATAACATATCAGTATGGCTAAAAATAAACATGGCCAATTAGCGGTGTTCAAATATCTCTCTTTTCGAATCCCACCAGAACTGATCAACGATTTCTGACATAAGCCTACAGAAAAAGCCTGTATGATAATAAGTAAATCTGACTTTATTATAGGTCAGTAAGGCTGAAATTGGAATTCCTAAAAGCTTAAAACAAATCTCCCACATCGAATTTCAAAATCTCTCTCCAACTTGTACACGAAGTGTTCTTGTTTGCTTTATAGAACCTGCACAAATTCCACTGATTTCCCATTATGCCTTCCTCTGAAATTCCAAAGGTGTTAAAATTTTGTTGTATTTTAGCGTCCTGTTGCACTGATTCGCGTCCATGTGTATGTATTGACCGTCTTGTAGTGCACACAGTCTCACGTGTCACTTCACTACACGTTTCGGCATCACTGTGCCATCCTCAGGTGTGTTATTTACGTTAAACTATTGCACTGCTCGCCATCAGGTGTCCACAAAAGAAGGACACATCACAAGACACAGTATACACAAAATACAAGGAAGAACGACTCCCATAACGGAAGAATGATATAATACGCGAGTTTGAAATACGACGTATAAGATGATAAATCTTAACAAATTTTAATATATAAATTTTATTATAGTACATGACGAATATACATTTTAAATAATTTTACAAACGACACATGATGGAGAGCAGTGCAATAGTTTAACGTAAATAACACACCTGAGGATGGCACAGTGATGCCGAAACGTGTAGTGAAGTGACACGTGAGACTGTGTGCACTACAAGACGGTCAATACATACACATCATGGGTGTTAAAATTTATATTCACTGAAACTGCCATACGCAGACGCTTCGGTACTGGTGTCGAGACAGATGAGTAACCGTCTTGTAGAAGTTCTGAATACAGTACAAACCAGAAATTTTGGATTGACTAACACAATTAAATTTTCTTTTGGTTACACTATGAGAATGGTTTGTATGGCTGAAAAATCAAGGAGGATGAGACGAGCGGAACATGTTGCGCACATGGGAGACATGCAATATTGGTAATTCCTTGATTTTTCTCTCCTCTTGCTCCCACTTCTGAGCATATGGCTCATTTCTCAGTTTCATGGCCATTTTATAGACTCCTTGAATGGGTTATCAGCTCATCGCAAGGCTTCTACCTAAAATTCTTTGACTAGTTCAGCAATGTATCGTGGACTTCGCTCCGTGGCTTAGTTAAAGTTTTTAAATTAAATTGTTTTACATGGGGACACAGATGTACCACGAGGAATTAGTTCTAAAAAGTTTCCTTTGCACTTAGTTAAGCACTACGTCACAAACACATGTAGCTGTAGGAGCATAAATTCCACGCGTTTCTAACCGCAGCAATAGACCCGGCCGTCTTATTTCCGGGAAAAGGATAATGTACCCAATTTATAAATCTCCGGGTAGGACACAAGCCGGTGTGGGCGTCATACAGAAACGAAAAATCTTTGCCGGGAATCGAACCTTTATTCCTCGGTTGTCAAGCCTGTAACGTAGGTACAGCAAAAGAAATCATTCACTGCTGCAGGATACTTCTGCCATGAGAAGCAAGAATGTAGATCCAAAAAGTCAGCAAAGGGAAAGCTACGTCATTCTCTAACAACAGAAGGCAGCACATTTTGCGAATCTGTAGTCAGTTAACTTCAAACGGAAGAAGAGCAACTTTAGATACTGTTGTCCTCAGAGGGCAGCTCGCATACTTGCAGCATTTAATTAAGAAGGACCATAAACATGAAACTGATGCAATTTAGAAAGGATAAACTGGTTTGACATCTTTTCCTGCTTACGTCCTCAAAACGAAGCACAATGTTACGTGAGCAAATGTGAAATGAGCGCTCCACTATCTTCTGAGGTGAAGACAGAAACTCTGTAAAGCATTGCAGTTCGCTTCGCTGTGACGCCAGGCTCCGATTGGTTATACAAAACCCTTCATCTCTTCTCAGAAACTTTAGGCTATCATTCAAAACAAAACTGTACAGCCTAAATGTAGTGTCGTTGGGATTTTTAACATTTGTCTATAATATGTCTATTTCTAGATCGAGTGGTAAAGTTAATGCAGGCCCATAGGGTTGTGAGACGCCGTGGTTCCCACATTTTCTAGACAATCGGCTCACATAAGGCGGTGAAGTCAGCCTTACGCATCGGCCGCGGTTTGCCCCGAGGAAGATTCCCCGTATTAATTTCTGTTAGAGGCTGAGTCGACCCTAGGGCCATAGTGCGACTGGAAGGATTAGGTCAATTGAAAAAAGTCAAATTACCTCATCGAGATTTGAACCCACGACCTTTCGGAGCGTAGCGTAGTATTACCCGGTGGGGGTAAAAATTTTCACTTCTCCACATCGTCCGGACGGGATCTGGGGTTCACCCAATCTCCGATCCAGTGGGTACCGGGGGCTCATTCTTCGACTGCGACTATAACGAGTTTATTTCCTGGAACGTTACGCATAAAGGGATCACAGTAACAACACTAATTAGATTCTCATATCAATGACGTTGTCCAGGGAATGGAATATTACAAGTGGGGTTACAGAAAGAAGTGTGTATAACCTTGTGATATTTGATATTCTCATAGCAGTGACTACGAAGAGTACAATTTTGTGGGATCTGACGTGGTGTAGCTTGGTACAAACTTGCTAATTTTCGAGGAGCGTACTGCTTCCATTTCCAGCCTGAAGAAGGAGGCAGTAAGTCTATCAAAAATATCAGCAGACTCCTGACAGCATGGCATCATGTAACAGGAGACAGAACACTCGCATACATAAGATGACTGCATAATTTAAAGCTTCTGATTTCATGAAATAAACTCCGTGGTCTCTAGTCCGCAAGCTACCTATACCGATGGAGCGGCCGCCGCTTGTCAGTTAAGTTAGTGCCAACTTTAGCGATAGATGGTGTCACGTGGTCAGCGCAACGGATCCCCATGTCCTTTAATATCGTTTTTCTAGACCGGAGCCGCTACTTTTCCATTCAAGTAACTCCTCAGTTATCCTCATGAGGCTGAGTGGGCCCCGTTCCAGACCCATTACTTCTCAGAAAATCTGGTAGCGCCGGGAATCGAACCCGAGACCTCTGGATCTGTAGACCACAAAAAGCAGTTTGCAATAAGGAATAGCCCACGCTCTTTTAAGAGTGAAAATTCGCTAAATAGCAGTGTTATTGTAAGGTAAACCTCTGATATGAGTCTGTTAAGGACAGAGGGCGCATTGGTTTTGCTGTTTTGACGCAGAAAGGTGCTCCGTGCTGCTGCAGGCAATAAAATCTTCCGCATGGGTTCCTCGATATTTTCACTGTACAATACCCTCACGGATTTTTAAATGAAATCGATCCAACCAGGTTTTATCTCACATCAGAGATCGGAAAGAAAAGTACATAAGTACTGTATCGACATATTGTGTGCAAGAACCGATAGCAAAAACGGCGTTTGTTGCAAGTTTGATTTAAAGGAATAATATAAAGACATATTTGTTTTCTTTAAGCTAAAGGAAAGCGCCTCATGGGAGTGGTTCGCGAAGCATAGGATCCATCCTCTTCGGAGGGTGCAATTATTTATTAAGGGAGCGCGGGATATTCTTAGAAAGTTATCAAATAAAACTTAATTGATTATAATTCTCAAAATGACAGATCGATTGTTTACTTTTGTGCAATTATGAATAGTAAAAAAATATTGTTAATTAATAGATAATTAAAATGTGTTGATAAAAAGACAGGAAGAGCTGTTGCTTACAGTTACATGCAAAGTTAAGGAAGGAACGCACTGGAACCTTTGCTAAGCTGAGTGCTGTTGGTCCCGTCATAGCTCAAGCAGTTAGTCGCTGGCTTCCCATCGCGGCGGCCCGGGTTCGATCCCGGGTCTGCTCAAGTGGGATTTGTGATGGACAAAGTGGCGCTGGGACTGGTTTCCTCCGAGTACTTCGGTTTCCCCTGCCAATCTTCATTCCACCACGTTCATAATAATCACCCGGGACAGGTACAATAGGCCAATCAGTGGCCGCCGTGCCGAGTGGACCCAGTTGGACTCCACCCCCCACTATGCGAAATAAAAATACAATCTGAGTGCTGGATATCTCTGTCTGATGGTTGCACAATCTCCACCTTTGCGCTGCATGTGAATATTATAGGGGAATTGAGACATAGCTCCAAACATACTTAACATTTGCACTAGATTAACATAAAGTTATAAACGGGCAAATAAAATAAATATAAAAGAATACTATCTTTATTAAGTAATTAATCAGTTAATTAAAACAAACTGCGTGGCTTTAGTCCGCAAGCAACCTATACCGACCGGGCGACCGCGGATAGAGGGTGCCGCGTGGTCAACGCAAGGAATCCCCACGGTCGTTAATTTCGGTTTTATAGACCGGAGCCGCTACTTTTTTCCATTCAGGTAGCTCAGTTATCCTCACGAGGCTGAGTGGACCCCGTTCCAGACCCACTACTTCTCAGAAAATCTGGCAGGGCCGGGAATCGAACCCGGGACCTCTTCATCTGTAGCCAGGAATTCTGACCACTAGACCACAGAGGCGGTCCAGTTAATTAAATGCGTGTAACAAATCTGTGAGTTCAATTTTTGTGATATGTGTAAATGATGTAGTCAAAAGAGCTTATTTCAAACAAGTTAACGAAAAAGACGAAAGTTTGTTTTGCTATGTTGTCCACAGGCATTGCTTTTAGGACCCAATCAAGTGTCGCATATGCCAGTCTTGCATCAATGAAATCGTGGCTTGATGTGTATATTTCTTGCTGAGAATGGAGGAACGGTCTTTTTACGGAAAGAGAGAAGACTCGTAAAATGGGTTATGCGATTTGTCTTGTTTCGTATTCCTGTCTTTTGTTCTCTTTTCTCCTTTACAGTGCGCCTTTGAAATTATCACCAGTCTGTTTTCTATTCTTTTTCCTTTCGTTTCAGATCGGGACCAATGTGGAAAATGCAGGGCTGGTACGAGACGATTAAATCTCAACAAATACTGCCGAAGAGATTACGGTACGTATCCCAGCAGAGAGAATTAAGTTCTGGTTTCGTGACTTACACCCAGCGTGTAACATCCCAAACTTGGAAGCACTGTGAATATTGGTTCTGCTGCATTAGAGTAACCAATTGTTTAAAGTCGTTTAGGGAAATAATCGCTATTCATTCTGATAAAGTTGTCCCTGTGCTCATCGAATTAAGCACTATGCCATGAAGGCGTATGGGGCAGTGGATGTATAGCTCCACATTTTCTTGATCTCGGCACTAGATGGAGGTGAGTGGTCAGCGTCATGCCTCTGCCGGTTTAACCCTGGGAAAGACTACCTGGTACCCATTGTACAGGAGGTTAGGTGGACCCCAGAGCTAGTCTGGACGATTTGAAGAAAGAAAATTCTTGACCCTACCGGGACTCGAACGCCGACCCCTCAGTCCAGCCCGTAGCCAGTCGCTATACAGATTAAACCATATTAAGTACATAAATACACGATTTGTAACACTTTCTGTCCTGACTTTCTTTAGACTGATTTAAAATAGACAAGGACTTACTTAATCCATTCCTCTTATAACTTCCGGATGTTTCTTTTTGTTTCATTTTGATTATTCTACAGACAGTAGGACTCCTTGGATGAGTGATCAGCTCGTCGCAAGGCCTCTACCTTAAACACAGGACAACACAAATACAGAATAAACACATAAACATACAAAACAATGATGCCTTGTGTGGGATTCGAACCCACGATCCCCGCTTCCGAGTGAGCGAAGACAGTACATGCCTTAGACCGCTCAGCTACAGTGACCGGCCTTAGACAAGGACCAGAGAATATAATACAGGTCTATAACCTAACCCAAAAAGCCTAGCCTTACATCTTCTAACTTAACAACTCAAAATGTGTATATACAGCCTACGCCTTTAAATTAACATAACCCAGCCTAACCTAACAAACGAACTTGACCTAATTTAGCTTGACTTCACCTAACGTGTAAAAGGACGTATATATGTCTGTAGCACGGAAGGAATTAACGAAGGAGATGATCTGTATATTTACCGATAAAAATATCCGTGGGTTTTAGTCCGCAAGAGAACGTTGCAAATCACGGGATATACGGTTTTCGGTTCGATAACCATATATGATTAGCCAGAAGAATATCTCATATGAAATTTTATGCCGAGAAGTTACAAAAATATTTAAAAGAAAACAAACTCCGTTGTTTTAGTCCGCAAGCGAACTAAACCGACCGAGCGATCGCCGCTTGTGGGCGAAGTTAGTGCCAACTTTAGCGGATAGAGGGTGTCGCGTGGTCAGCGCAACGAATCCCCACGGCCATTAATTGCCATTTTCTAGACCGGAGCCGCTGTTTCCTTGAAACAGCTTCTCAATTATCCTCACAAGGCTGAGGTGACCCCGTTCCAGACCCACTAGTTCTAAAAAAAATCTGGTAGTGCCGGGAATCAAACCCGGACCTCTGGATCTGTAGCCAGGAACTCTGACCACTAGACCACAGAAAGGAATAGACAATATATATATATATCTAACTGGTGGCATGCTAGCCGGCATTTACTTTAGTGCCGCACATGGAGTGAGATCGAGTACCGTTTCGACATTCTGCGAGCTACAAATGACGCTGACATTGTGATGTTTTGATCTTGACGAGTTGCTCTCCCAAGCAAAGCAAAGCAATGCACTGCACCTCTTATACTTTTACGCCTTGTGTGTACTTGAACTGTGAATAAATCGTGGCCAGTCTGCAGTGATGATGATGATAATGATGATAATAATAATAATAATAATAATAATAAACTGCTCTTAGATAAAAAAATAAGGGTGGTGTTTGTATTCCTTCCCTAACAACACTTACAAAAACACGCTTTCCCAAGCATGTTGATTCCTTTCATTGTACTCGGTTGCCCAGTACAATCTCCACTAATTTACAGACAGCGAAATGGGTAGCCGAATAAATCATCACGTGGTTCCTTCGCAATAGTAGGGTCTAATTAACTAGCAAACGCATCCTCTAGTGGCCAATTAATGAACTGAACTAGCTGTCGAGTTGAGCATCAGTCTACTTCTGTGCAGCCACACCCATTCAAATAAGAAAAGGGGGGAGGGCAGTCGAACACAGGAGCAGAAACAGCGGCTAATCAGCAGACAACAGCAACAATGGGGCTACTGAAGCGCTGTCATATAAGTTTTCATTCAAAATTAAACATACATTTAATTTTTTTTTTAATTTATTCGAGCAATAGAACATGTCAAAAAACATAAACGTGGCATACACGACGTACAAGATTGGGTTTCTAAACGAGACTTGCGGCTTCTACATTGTCTGACATGGTGACAAACGCGCAGCTTTCATGGCGGCAACCAGCCAGCCTGTAATGAGCAGGGCGTTAGGCGCTCCGTGCTCTGTACACTGTAGAGGCTCTATAGCCTCCAAATGAGTACGTGCAGAAGAATCCCTACTAAGTCGTATCGTTACTCAAGAAATTCCTACCTGTCATAGTGCCCGAAGGTTCACTAGCGTTAGAACAGCCCGCCACTAGACCCAGTTCTGAGACATACGTGTCCACTTCCCCCCCCCCCCCATTTATATAAGATGCATATCTTCCCATACGAGCCTAAAATTCCTCTCCAGGTTTTCCGACCAATACTTTATACTCATTTCTGGTCTTTCCCATGCGTGCTACACTCCCTTCTCATCTCACCCACTTAATTTAGTAACTCTAATGATGTGTGATGCAGAGTACCAATTTTGAAGTATTCCATTATGCTACTTACATCGCTTTGTCACTTCATGTCTCTTAGATCCACATATTCTTCCAAACGCCCTCATTCTAGTTTATTCCTTGATCTTTCCAGAATCCGAGAGGTCAAAGACACGCTCGCACAAAACTAACTCGATATGCTATAGGTATCAAGGTCTATGTAACGGTAATTCTACACTCGAATTCGGGAAATACTAGGTTTAAGTCTAAAATTAAATTCGCTTAGTGAGGTTTGGAGTCCAACTGGGTCCACTCGGCACGGCGGCCACTGATTGGCCTATTGTAGCCTGCCTCGGGTGATTATGATGATGGACAATTTGGTGGCATGAAGATTGGGAGGGGAAACCGAAATACTGGAAGAAAACCCGCCACAGCGCCGCTTTGTCCACCACAAATGCCACTTGACCAGACTCGGGATCGAATCCGGGCCGCCGCGGTGGGAAACCAGCGACTAACCGCTTGATCTATGGCGCGGCCCAGGTTTAAGTCTAGGCCAGGAGTCCAGCTATCCTGGTTTAGAATTTTTCTTGTGTTTTTTTTTTGTTAGTGGGGTGGGACTAAGTACCTTGTACTGCGACCACTTCTGGCCTATTGTACCAGCCCCAGATGAGAGGTGAGGGTGAGTGTGGAGCAACTGGTGGAACGAAGATTGACAGGGGAAACCGAAGTACTCGGAGAAAACCTGCCCAAGCGCCACTTCGTCCACCACAAATCCCACTTGACCAGACCCGGGATCGAACCCCGGCCGCCGCGGTGGAAAGCCAGCGATCAACCGCTTGAGCTATGGCGCGGCCATTTTTCCTGTTTCTTTTAGTGCCTCTAGATATGCGCTGAGATAGTGAGTAGATTAGTCAACGGTCTTCCTTCCAAATCCGTTCCAACACATCATTCTTCTATAATACTACCCTTGGACCTACTGGCAGTGTAATGAAATAACCCACAAAAGAGGTTGTATGTACCTGATACATTGAGAAGAAGCCTCCTGTTCCTCCCACCTGTGTTTACACATGCAGGGGCTTATTGCTGAACGTATGCGGGCCACGGAGATTATCTGGAGAAAGTATAGCAAACGTGGGTGCTCTTTCTTTCGTCGCGTATTTAAAGACGACTTCAATATCGAGACTAATCAGCGACGAAGGGCGGATGACAGATTAATGACGATGATTTGGAAGAAGCGGTCCTGGACTAATCAGGGCAATATCCCGTAATCTGCCTGGAGGGACTGAAGAAAATCATGGATATCACAGTACAGCTAGCGGATGCACATCGTGAGTAATGTCTGCAGCTGACGAGGGAAATGTATTTAGACTACATGATGTAAAATTTGTGTTACAGCACGCCACTCTAAGTGTTATTCCGTTTCATAATGTAGCAGCTAGCTCATTAACAACTTGAACTAGGAAAGTATGGCCTTTAGGCGGTTTAGTTTGTAGTCTCGTGTTTCGGAGGTGTTCGGTCTCAATGTCTGCCCGAACGCTCGTTATCCTGACTAAGGCCCTTCGTGGTCACCTCGGCCCCTCCAGACAAACGCCGGGTAACACTCACTTCCTATTCATTATCATTCAACTATCAACCAACCGTTGTCATGCAGTCTCTATGTCGGAAGTGTTGTTAAATAACTTACCGAAAAATAGTCACCAAAATTTCGTATTATTTCTTGTTAGTCCCACCGAAACTGCAATAAACATACTTGATTTCACTATCATAACAGTTCTACCTCACATGCAGCCTAAAACTCACTGACTTCATTAATATTTAATTCCATAAATTATCCATTTAGCTATTCAGTTAAACACGCTTGATCAGACACTGCTGAATCCCTATAGGGAAGCCGCCAGTCGCTCGACTACTAAAAAATTCCCCAATATTTTATGCAACCCAAAGGTTCATTGCCGTGTCTATTCGTCCCTGTTCTGAGCCAGAGTAATCCAGTCCATACCACCCCATCCTATTTCTCTAAGATTAATCTTAATATTATCTTTCAGCCTATGTCTAGGTATTCATAGTGGTCTCTTTCTTTCTGGTTTTTCCATAAAAACCTCGTTCATATTTCTCTTCTTTCCAATGAATGCAAAATTCCCTGCCCATCGTATCCTTCTCGAAATAATTGTTTATATTTGGTGAAGAGTACAAGTTATGTAGCTTCTCATGCAATTTTCTCCAGCCTATAATTATTTCATCCCTCTTTGGCTCAAATATTCACCTCAGTACCCCGTTCTCAAATACCCCCAGTCCATGTTCCTTCATCATT